CAAACAGTCTGCTCTGAGAGACTGAGCCCTAAGATGACCAAAATTATTATTTGTAAGTCAATATAACCAGAAATAGCTCCTAATCAATTAAAAAATATATTCTTGATAGAGCCGCTTTCAAGGAATTTTTTCATTTTCGGTTCTATTAGGGACAGGTTGCCGCCCACAAGCAGGATTTTAGCCAACAATTCACTTCAATATTGTTTTGGAAATTAATCGCGGAGTTTAACATGGAGTACCGTTAAGGCGCCAAAATAACAAAATGGCTGGGCGAACGACCCGATCCTCTTCTCGTCTAGGCATTACGTCCCCGTGTGTTGGGAAACCTTTCAAAGTTTCAAAGAGAAAGAATGTCAAGGTCTTTACGTAAGTTATTTCAAATCTTTTATAATCATTGATGTTTGAGTTCCATATAAATTGCACCTTCTTTGAGACTAGTTTAGTCTAGGCTACGGGAAGGCCTGTTTGCAGTCTGTGATAGTCTTCTATCTCGTTTATGGATCAACAAAGAGAAATTTGTTGAATCCTTTGACAATCTATAAACTGCAGTTTAGTATTGTAATATTTTTCCTAAGTGTAGATTAATGTTTTGTCACACTCACTCGTTTCTAGGTTTTTATGTGGTTCAAAAATATGAGCAAAACATGATGATCGAATAAGAAAACATTCAACGCAGCTAACACAACACAGCCAACAAGCATAGATGATCTGAACCTAAATTGTCTCTGTAGCCGGTTTTAGATTTCTATTCAGATCAGATTCAAACCAAGCTATCATATTCTCAATAACAGGTTTGAACATAACCAACCAATACCATCAACACACTATGAAAATGGGCTCGTCTTCGATTTTGACATAAAACTAAGAATGCACATGAGAAAAATTAGGAGAGCATTCTTGTAGGCCCGAGTTCTTGAAACATGTTTTGCATTAGGGCTGATATATAAAGCCTGTTGTTGTCAAATTTTGCAATTTATCAATCAGTGGCTGAGCTAGGGGAGGCCCAGGTGCATTCCATATAAACCTCATATGGAAGGTACACCAAAGATAGACCATGTGTACACCAAGGTTCATATGCAATCATTATACTGCATAAACAATCACAGAAAAAGCTTTGGACCACATCACTACAACATTTAACCAAAATTGTTGTGCATGCCACACACTGGCAGATGCTTATCTCACACCAACATCATGCTAAATAACATAACTCCATGCCAAAGATCTTCTCGATTTGCTACATGTAATGCTACATATAATGCTACATATGAATAAGATACAAAAAGGTACTTGTGAAGTCAGGTTTTACAGTTTTTTATATAAAGTACAATGTCTCAAGATACTCCTGGCCAAATTTTGCCTAATTTGAAAAGAAGTAGAAAAAATAAAATTCAGAAGTATATCCAATTAAAGAACAGGATGCACAAATGATACTGTGAAGGCTAGATTTACAGTTATGGTGAATTTAATAGCATATTCAGATTCTGCACATATAAAAAGTGTGGTTTTATGGACCAAACTTTAGATCTCTTTTTAATTCTAACTGGGGTTCAAAATGGCTACTATGTGCAAAATTTTGTTAACTTTTTTGGGAGGGGGAGTAAAATTCAAACCTTGCATAATTTTGCCTCTCCACAAGCCTGGGACAAAGAAAAACTCTTAAAGTTATCTGTTTTTGATTTTCTCATCCTCTAGCCCACTTGGAAAGGGAATGAGTTTAAAAACATGTCTCAGAGTTTCAGGTTTTAGGTTCAGGTTTCAGAGTAGATCAATCTGGGCATCTTTTTACTCAGTAGAGGGTTAGTGGAGAGACTAAACATGGAAAACTTTTGATCCAATTAGAACAACAACATTTACAAAAAAAGTTCAAGACTAATGCTGCAAATTATACTGATTTCTCTCATAGCTCTGGTGTGTAAAAAGTAGCTCTACTCTGGTCTGTTCACAATTCTCTAAAACTGATTAACCTGAAGAGAATAAGGCTAACAATCACTTTTCAACCTGGATACATTTTATCCCAATTTAGAGAAAGCTAACAAAAACTTTTATTAAAACAACTATAAAGCCTAAATTCTTTGTGATACATGTGTCAGGGGTATGTCACAGCATTGAATGGAACACTTCATGGATCAGAGCCACCCACTGGTTCAGCTGGCAAGAGAGACAGTATCAAGATTTACTAAATAGACTGTAAGGATATGCTACATGTAGCCATGCAAAGAGTGGAAGTTTTTAAAACCATAATATGTACACAGGCAGAGCTTATAATCTGATACATTGTTATTGATAAGATGTTATTTGTTCTGTTCTTTCTCATAGAGCGAAGTATAGAAATCTGTGTTCATTGCATAGATATATATTCAATATTGCATACTGTCTTGTCACTTTGAAAAATAAATTCAATTTGAGTGAAGTGCTGAGTAATTAAGGGCATCTTGTAGCTTAATTTGTGTAAAAAAGATATAATTTATCAATAGTATGATAAGCTCTTGAACCATGCATGTATTTATCTCTATTTTTCTTCTATTTTTTCAGAGAAAATGAGAAAAAAGAGATTGCCAAATATGAAATCAAGGTTTGTTTATTTTTGACATAACATTTTCTAGGTAGCTTTTTCTGATGTTTTGCTATCTAAAGGACAGTAACACAATTTGCCAGGCAAGAGAATTGAAAGCTCTTTTGAGTTTTTTCAAGTATTTATCCCATGAAACTGATGCATAATTTATTAGTTATAATTATATTTATTTAGGTTATAGTTTATAGTGTAAACTTGAAGTTTTGAGATTGAAAGTTTAGATTGACTTTATTAGTTCGTAAAGCCAGCAAGCCAGCAAAATGAAGCCTCCCTAAGCAAAACTAGCCAATATATTCTTATGAGAATGATTTTTTACTCCATGGACCATTCATTATTTGTGTTTGAGAAGGTCATTAAACGTTTCTCTTTGGACAAACCTTTAAGATGATGACATATAAGCTGTTCATAGTAGTTAGGCTGAAGGTGATGTTGCAATTTTTAATAAAATTCCAGAAAATCGTAATTGAGTACTTTTAATGTTTGCATTTTCTTAGATTGCTATACAGTGCCTAGAGAATGGCTACCTTTTCAGGAAGTAACTTGTATCTGGCCAATATTTTCATGATTTTATCTTCACTAGAACATGTAAAACTGACTGGGGTGTTCAGAACCTGCTCCCTTTAGAACCTGTCAATAGAATGAACCACTTTTTAACCAAAATGTCCTGTTTATCTCTGATTTGTATTATCATTTTTTCCTTAGACTTTATCATTACTTTTTCTATTGATTACAAGCAATGATAGATTACTAGCAAGATGTAAACAGCTTATGAATTGTATCTATTGTAAAACATATATTTTAGGAGCACTAGGTTAACAGATTCTTGGTTGATAGCAGCAAATTTATTTTGCTGAACAAGTCTACCTATATAAATATGGTTTTTCAATTATTATTATTCTTATTGTTATTAGAAATTGAATTAAAAAGGGAATTGATCACAAGAAGTTGTTAAGAATGCAAACAATATTTATTGCCCATTTGAGTTAATAAAAGTTTCTTTTCTAGGCAGGACAGTTTAAGTACAGGCTAAGAAGTGTGAAAGATATTTTGAAAAACCTTGATAATGATAAATCAAGTGAAGAAGGCTCTGCAAGAAGAAGGGGGAGAAAAAGTAAGTTATTAGCGAGCAAGCGGAGGTCAATTGCTGAGTCAGTGATGCTAAAAAACTTTCAAAAGGATGCACAATTCAATAAAGAGCAGGAGGAGCAAAAAAGCCCGTCTAACCAACAAGCTGAAGACACTTTGGAAGCAAAGGTAGAACAAGAAGAAAATCAAATTCATATTGAAGAGAAAAACGAAAGCTCACAGGGGGCAGAGGAAATAACAGAGATGGTTTCTGAAATTGAGCAGTCAGAAATGAATGACAACGAGGTTCCATTGGTACAGGACACTGAGACAAGACAAACCACAATGGAAGATGAAAACCAATTGAAGGAACCAGGGATAAAAAATCTAAGGGTAAAGGCTAGGGTATGTTTCAAATTTGTATCACATTTTTTTTCATTGGTTGCTTTTAGTTGCATTAATGCCAAGAATTCCCAGTTTTTTGTATCCATGTTTTTTACAATGAGGAGCTCAATAACATTTAGTTTTTAAGTAAAAAGCATCATATAGACATGAAATAATTTTTTAGGTAAAACCTGTGAATGAAACTGAAGAAGAGGCTGCTGAAAGAATAAAGGCTGAGATGAGACTGAGGCAAGAATGTTGTAACTATGTAGAAAGCTTTTCTAATTACCCATATTTCAGGGCCTGGCTGCAAACAATTTTATTTCTGGATACCTGTTAAAATTTCTGAAAATATTCTGCTAGCTGAAGATATTGCACAATGTGGTTTACATTTTCAACTTTAACTAATTGAAAATTTCAAGCGCAATATATCCCCTGCTTTATCTAAATTGTTGTGTTTCGCTATTTTTCTGCCAGTTGTGGAAATAGAGTTCTTAAGTGTGACATCACAATAAACTACTTTTAGAATTTTTGAATTTCAACCATATAGCATAAAAGAACACGATGAAATGCTTCTAATTATGCAAGACCAGTTAAATATGCAAAAAATTTGGTGATTCAGGTTTGAAGTGTGCAAGCGAATCTTTGTTATTTTGGCTCTGTTCATAAAGTTATGATTATAGACGAAATAACAGAGGTTTGATGGGGAAAGAGCCTGTGCTCGTATGGCTATATCTAGGCCAATGCAAAACACATTTGACTGATTTTGCACATTTAGAGGTATTTCATGATGCTCTTTCAGGTTATGGGATCTAAATTCAACAATTTTCAAAAATACATTTTTGTGATGTCATCGGTTGAGAACTCTATTTTCTGTGTTCCAATATTTTTGCAGCCATGATTCATGACTTTTTTACAAATCAATTTAGAATTTAACAAAAGCAACAAGTATTTAAAAGGTGACACCACAGAGTGGATGAGAATGCATTGCAACCCTATGGCTTTGCTTTAAGCATAGAATCTTTTGATGAGGATTATCAACTGATAGATTATAGCATAGACTACAATCTATGAACTGGGAAAATACCAAACATACTATAATCTGTAATACAAACTACAAACTGTAAAAGATTAAGCAGATATGGGGGAGAGGGAATTTCGCACAAATGATTTATAAAACTTATAGTTTGAGAACTAGATGGTCCTTTTTTCCGTCTATACACGACTACACTCTTTTTTTATAAGAACCAGTAAATTTAAGTTCAGGCTGACTGTTCTTTATTTTTTTCAAAAATCTGAGGCTGGATTGTTCTTAATTTGTTCTTAAATTAAGAGGGTGTAAGCAGTGCTATTGCTAGCTTTTTCACTCTAAGTAGGTGTTCAGGCCTCATTTGCCAACAAAGTGAGTGAGACAGCCTTAATTTGCTGACAAATATGAATATTCACCGAAAAAACACCCACACATCGCTAAAAATCCTCGATTTTGAGAAAAAACGTTGTTCAAAATTGCAATTTGCAGAAGCTCAGCCTCAGCTTGTTCTTAATTTGTTCTTAACTTTTGACCAGTTTTGAGGCTCGTGTTCTTATAAAATTGTTCTTATAAAAAAAGAGTGTGGTTTTAAAAGGCACCCCCCTCCAATAAAGGCCACACTCATCAGAGACACATTCAGTAGCATGTTTGCAGGAAAATTCAACGACATCGATTACACTTGGTTTTATTTTTCTTTCATTTGATCACATGGTCGCCATACATTTCGGGTCTAAGAATGACATTTGCGTTCAAAATCTGTTCATTTATAATAAATCTTCAGCATTGTCAATATTTTTTTAAACGTTTTCCATAGTTAGCCACTGTATTCATGTCTCTTCCTTTTTAGGGTAGAAACACTGGAACGAATTAAAGAGTAAGTACTTCAGTATTTATTTTTTGTGTGAAATTCACGCATTTTGCTGTTTAATTTGTAGTTTCAATGTTGATGGTATTCAGCCCACTATTTTTGCTCGCGAGTCTTTTCCAAAGGATTAGCTGATGTTCTGAGACGTTTTATCTATTTTGTCCCTTATAAAGTTGACTATAATCTGGCAGTGACGTCACTTTGAGAAAGAATAATCAAAACACACTATATAAGAAACATACAAACAGAGGCATTGTTCACACTACAGAAAATAATAGGGTAATTTAACTTCTTAAACCATTTGCTGCTAATTTGTTGCAGTGCTTACATGTATTCGTATTACTAAAGCCTATAAGATGATATTTTTAATTACACCAAAAGAAATCATAGACTGAGTTGTCAACGAAGTTATTTCTGTGGAAAATCAGAGACGTAGTGGCTTTTAGTCAGAAGTCACGGTGGCTGCGGAAATTTTGATACTTTTTCTAGATTTTTAAGAGAAAAATTGGCTTTAGCACCCAAAGAATTTACCTCCCACAACGCCCCAGTGTTTACGATGAGTACCATCAAGAATGGATGTCTGATAGTTTACGCAGCATATTTATGTCATGCTGGCACATTTTAGACTATTTTATTGCAAGGAAATGTAGATAATACGTTTGATTTCAAATTTTGTTGACTCGAAGGATTGTTTTGTCAAAGCCTCGAACCACACCCCCCCCCCCTTCCCAGATGTCCATGAGCTTTCCTTTAACTCAATGCATATTGATTTTGTTTCGTGAAACCACTCCTAATATTAACTATAACTATTACGTGTTAGGCCTGGTTCAAACGTCGCGCTTCTCATATGCCGAACCTAACTCGAGAATTAAGTACATGAGGGGCGCGACGTTTGAATCAATTTGGTACGGCAGATTTAGTTAGGAGCGGCAGACTAGTTTGGATCGGCAGAGCTTGCCGAGCTGCACGGCTCTAGCACGGCTCTAGCACGGCACGGTTTCAAGCGTCGAACTTGTCATGTACCGAACTCAATGCATAATTATATTTAATTTATTTTCCTTCCCAGAATTCATTTCTTTCTTTGAGGGCGCATGCGTTTCAAACAAATATTTGAGATTGTGTGCCTTAACCAAGATACTTCATGTAACAATCCTAAAACCCATTTGGCGCGACATGATTAAGTTCGACGTTTGAAACGGGAGTCGCGCTAAACATGCTCAAGTGTCGCTCCAAACAGAGTTAGGCTCGACACATGAGAAGTGCGACGTTTGAACCAGGCCTTAATTATGTATGAACTAAAAACAGCATATTTTCATCTCCAACGTTGAATACATTGTCAAGTATTAAACCTCACTGGTTTTTGGTTGATCCTTTTTTTATCTTATTTTATTTTATTTTTGGCAGATGGATAACAGTCGCCTTTTGTCACAGTAGGTTTATCCTTCTTTTGCAGCGAATCAGATTTACCTTTGCTAATCTTGGTTTTTCAGGTTGAAGAAGGAACAAGAGGAATGGGTTGCTCTTTATGGATCGTATCAAAGTCGCCTGGCTGAAGTTGAATCGTGAGTAGGCACATCCGTCTCAATGTTGTTTACAAGTAGTTATGAGATGACGACACACTGAGAATAGGAATCAAACGTTTTAGTGAAGTTTAGCAATGATTGGTTTCTTTGGAGCTGCATTTGGTATTTAATTGAAGAAAGGGTGCATTCAAAATTAATCTATGACTCATGAGCATAAAGTAAGCATTTGAATGGAAAGAGAAAGTAGCGTTGCTAATCCATTATCTGTCAGACACTATTGACACATTTTAATCATCTTGAAAGCTTCTAAAGTTCTTTCAATACCAAAGCACTGTTTATGATCATTGGTGCCTTTCGGTTTAGCATAGACGTCGCATCCACTTCCTAAGAGATGCAAGTCTATTGTAGTTATAGCAACGCACGAACTCCTAACACCGCACCCCCTCCCCTTAGCCCCTCCTCAAACAATGTTGGTTAGCAAACTTTTATTCGTATTTGATTGCAGCACAACTTTGCAGATCAAAAACCATGTTTATATTATATAGCATAAAAATATTCAACATTGTTTGAAGGAGGTGGGAGGGGCCGGATACAATTTTCGAGGAAGTTTTTCAAGTATTCTGGCAAGGGTTGTTGCTCCAAATGGGAGGGGGCGTGCTTAAGTTTGGAAAGGAAGGAATCTAGCGTACCAGGACTAGAATGAAGCATTGTGGCTCTTATGAGGATACTACGTCATCACTCAATTTATTCACTTACGTCATCCCTGCTTTTGGGCGCATAATCATGGCTTCACAGGATCAGCTCTGGAAATTTGCGAAAAGGAATCTTCCAGATAAAGTTTAAATAACCGTGCAAATCTTTTTCATCTTTGCAAATACGATGTAAAATTCTAAATTTATTTTTAACTCAGCTTTAATTCTACTTTCAATCGCAGAACCCGCCTCAAGATAGGTAATGAACTTTGTTGATAAACTTTGTGCGATTTCTCTCTTCAGTTAGCTAGAATATCATCTTTTATACATTAGGCGCTCTATATTAATTAAGAAGGAAAGGGATTAGACTATATTTAAGAATTTTTAGGATTCTATAGGGAGGGGGTTCCTTAATGAAAAGGTAATGCTAAAGCAAGAGCTCTATTTTTCATCTGAGTTTTGCTACCTTAAAAATATACCACAAAAAATGTTAAAACAATGACGAATAGAATCACAACGTTTTAAGGAGGACAATGAGAGAACAGGAAAAATTGAGAACGAGGTTGAACTGCATAATATTTGTTGCTATACATTTGCAGAGAATGGCTTCAAGTTTTAGATGACTGCAAGAAGGAAGGGGGGGGGGGGAAGGGGGGGACTCGCTTTTTTGTATTGTACCATTCATAATTATCTCGATACAAAGGTTTTATCTGCCTATGCCCAAGAGGAATTACGTGTCAAGTCAATCCAATAATGTTTAGTATTACTTTTTGACTATCTTGTAACTGTCAACTTTTCGTATGCAGCTAGAATTGACTGGCTACCTCGCAAAACTCTTTACTTTAAAGGCGCCATAACATTTTTTTCAAATTTCGGATGGAGAAATAGTAATTGACCTTCCCTGCCCTGCGCTTTTTACTCTGACCGCAAAGGGTGAATGGGGATGGGGAGGAGGGTTTCTGTTAAAACAAGCAGGCCTCTTTTTCGCTTAGAGGCTAACGATTCTATAAACGTTAGGGCAGGTAGGGTGACTTTTTTTCGCATCTTCCATTGGTCTAGAAATATAGTTACTTTTACAGTGGTTGAGGGTAGCACCAGACATGTTTGCCTGGTTTCGCGTTGCATATGACAGGTTATTTCAAATGGTTTCTTTTTTGCAGGGATCAAACAGGGGAACTGTCGCCCGATGTGAAGCATTCGCTTCTTTCTGATGAACAGCGACAATTCATGGAAGCAAAAATGGACCCTAAAGATTTTATCGACCGGCTGAAACAATATCAATTGGATTATATCGCTTGCGTATGTTTTTCATTTGGGTTTTCTTCTACATTACTTTGGTCAAAAAAATGTTCAAATCTTGCTGCAGATGGCATTAGAAAAAGTCGCTGAAGCTGATAGAAAACCACTAATCTTAGTTAGGCTACATGCCTGCGTGGTCTCCATTTATTATCATAGACCCTGACAAGACAGTTTTAGAGTTCATTGTTTAAATTGTATCAAGAATGAAAGATAAAAGGTTTTTTTATCTGTCTATAGCATGATAATGTATATACATTTTTATATAGGAATATCAATAGTATTTAAGAACATTAAGGCTCAGCAAAAAATTATTAAAAAAGTGTGCAGTTTACCGTTCATGCTGTATGATCTGTGTTTGATTTCAGGCACGGTATGTGCAAGATTTTACAGAGAAAATGTCAGAATTTAAGAAGAGCGTTTCTGACTACCTCACATCTTTACCAAGCATAGGTAAGTCATACAGTCTTATCGACTTGAAGTCATTCAGTCTTACCAATTCTAAGTCATCCAGTCTCGCAAAATCTTAGTCATTCAGTTTTACCAAATCTAAGTCATCCAGTCTTATCGACTCGAAGTCATCCAGTCTTACCAATTCTAAGTCATCCAGTCTTGCCAAATCTTAGTCATCCAGTCTTACTAAATCTAAGTCAGTAAGTCTCACAAAATCTAAGTCATTTAGTCTCACCAAATCTAAGTCATTTAGTCTCACCAAATCTAAGTCATTCAGTCTTACCAAATCTTAGTCATTTAGTCTCACCAAATCTAATTCATTCAGTCTTACCAAATCTTAGTCATTTAGTCTAACCAAATCTTAGTCATTTAGTCTCACCAAATCTAATTCATTCAGTCTTACCAAATCTTAGTCATTTAGTCTAACCAAATCTTAGTCATTTAGTCTCACCAAATCTAATTCATTCAGTCTTACCAAATCTTAGTCATTTAGTCTAACCAAATCTTAGTCATTTAGTCTCACCAAATCTAATTCATTCAGTCTTACCAAATCTTAGTCATTTAGTCTAACCAAATCTTAGTCATTTAGTCTCACCAAATCTAATTCATTCAGTCTTACCAAATCTTAGTCATTTAGTCTAACCAAATCTTAGTCATTTAGTCTCACCAAATCTAATTCATTCAGTCTTACCAAATCTTAGTCATTTAGTCTAACCAAATCTTAGTCATTTAGTCTCACCAAATCTAATTCATTCAGTCTTACCAAATCTTAGTCATTTAGTCTAACCAAATCTTAGTCATTTAGTCTCACCAAATCTAATTCATTCAGTCTTACCAAATCTTAGTCATTTAGTCTAACCAAATCTTAGTCATTTAGTCTCACCAAATCTAATTCATTCAGTCTTACCAAATCTTAGTCATTTAGTCTAACCAAATCTTAGTCATTTAGTCTCACCAAATCTAATTCATTCAGTCTTACCAAATCTTAGTCATTTAGTCTAACCAAATCTTAGTCATTTAGTCTCACCAAATCTAATTCATTCAGTCTTACCAAATCTTAGTCATTTAGTCTAACCAAATCTTAGTCATTTAGTCTCACCAAATCTAATTCATTCAGTTTCACCTAATCTAAAGGATACTTTTACTTTTTCTTCCCCTCGTATGCGTAACACTGATTGGCATGATTTCAATTTTAAGTTTGTCTCGAAATATGGTTTTCATTACCCTAATAGTAAATTGTGCTAAAAATTTGTGTACAATACAGTTATGCTTATCCAATGTGACCTTGTCGTCCAAAGAAAATTGAATCCTGTAATGTGATTTACCCTTGCGTTTTTGGTGAAATTGAATGAAAGTGCCAGTGGGGGTAACGAAGGCACCTGGGGCCCTTGAGAATTCATGGATGTCTAGGTCCCATCCAAGCGTGTAGAGGATGTCAAACACAGTAGCTAGATGAAAGGATGATAGTTTTCCTCGTTAACCAGGGAGAAACTGAGTTTCATTTCGAACAATTTTTAAGACTTTTGAAAACAAGGTAAACTTAAGCGAACTCTTAAAAACATTGATATCTTTGTTGCCATTTTTGATCGGGGGCCCTTGGATATGAAACTAAGGTGCACTAAACTGCGTTATGCCACTGCAATGTTTAACGGAATCATTCTGAACTTCGATGCCTACTAAGGCCTGTTATTACTCAATCGGCCGTGCATTGAGCTTTCCCCTCTACCTCGTAACACAAACAACGTTTCGCTTTGTCATTTTTGGACGTGATTACTAAATGTTGACCACATCTATTTCACTTTAGGTTCTTAGATTTTAAGTTTCCTGGGGATATGGTTTGCATTGTTTGATTAAGCTTTTTGCAGATAAACAAGTGCATTTTCAAACAGTTATGACAGATTTGTCCATGATTTGAAATTTACCTTATGAGTTATATGACCCCTATAAGCAGTGAGGCGTTTTAACAGTAGTATAGAAGGCGAATTTAGGTTTTGTTAGAATACTTCCTTGGGTGCATGAATTCTGTCTGAAAAGTATGTTCTCTAATAAAGTGAATTGTTTATTCCAACAGTGTCTCCAACAAAAGAGGGATGTTCGAGAACCCCAAGGACATTGATCACGAACATTTTGGGCCGTGCCAAAGATATTGCAAGCAAGTCAGATCAAAGCTTCTAACGTAAGAATGCGGTATAGATCGCTTCGCGCAACAGGAAGCTTTCTACGTCTTATTTGTAGTGTAGTCTACGTAGCAAGTGGGACTATTGCTAGACGTTTTCAACGCACTGCCTTTGTTATTCGCCCTCATTAAATGACAGGATAACAGCCCTACCCACACTATCCACCTGTACATCGTTTGGGCATTCATCCAAACCTCCCTTCAAGCGTTCTTCTTTATTCACACTACTTTGCCTCTCTGTTAGTTGTTCTATATTATCTTAGTCCATGTTACGGTGTTGTCTATACATTTCACTCCCTAAAGAAGTTTTGTTTCTTTCTCTATCTTAATTTGTCCATTGTATTTTCCTAAAGCTTCCCTTATTTTTCAACAAATAATGACAAACCCGGGTACAACTGTCACTCGAAGTGTGAATTCTCTCCGAATTATTTCTAATCATGCTGCAATTTTCTCTATAATTGCAACGCTATTGTTTCTAGGTTAATTAACGTAGACCTATACAGTTGAACCCTATTACGTTGTACCCTGGATAGTTCGGACTTTCAGTGAACCGGACTGATTTTCGATTACCATTGGATTTTCTACCTTATTCAAATCAAAAGTCGTATCCGGGACTAGCAGGAAATTCGCTAAGTCAGACCTTTTTCTTGAACAACAACCAACTGTTTTCTGAATTAGTATTGTTTTAGGCCGCAATGGCAAAGATGTCCAAGGGGCACTCGCGAACGCAACTTACGGAAAGTTCATCCGATAGTTGAGGGGTCTGTTTAATGAAAATTCTTGTATTATAGGTATAAATGATGAACGAAATGCACCATGATACGTTGTTTTACCTCGGGTCATCGATCCAATGATTACTAGAATGCATGCAATGTACTTCCTCCTATACCTGATAAATGCGATATCTAATGGTTTTGGATGCAAAGTGATTTAAGTGGATGAACCCTCCCCCCGTATGGTACATAGTTGAGTATATCTCCTACCCCCTTTCAGTTGGAAGAGTATATAGCAATGAAACGAGTAACTGATTCTTCTACCATGCGACTAGTCCTTCTATTATATTTGGTTCGTTCTACTCCATTTTTTATGCCCTACTTTATTTTCTTCTATTTCATTATAGATGTAGAAAGCATTTTAGAAGTAGGGGAGGAGCAACATTCTAGAAGTTGCGATCTGTGCACCCTTTGGTCCTACTTCTATGCTCAATTGAAATATATATCTTGATACCCTACATGTCTGAAGCAGGGGTGTTGTGCTATGAAAAGAAGGTGATAATCTCACGTAAATTATCGCAAAAGCAATAGCAAAAGGAGAAATGGGCTGAGTTTGGCATTAACAAAAGGGATAAGACCTCCCGAACCCCATATGACCCCCTAGCGCTACACCCCTGGTCTGAATATTGCAATGTTTCAAATAGGACTCCCACGTGATCACTGGACAAAAGTGTAGCTCCTGACTCTTCGACATAAACTTTTCCAATGTTAGATACTTTCATTTGAGCTTACGAGTATATCAGTGCACAGAGACGACACATTGTTGTGTAGCAATTGGATGCAATTTTCAATGTTTTAGTGATAGGAGAGCTTGTGTCTTAATTTTGGATTCGCATTCGTAAACATTCGATGCAGTTTTGAATATAATGTATATAGCTGACTTATTTTAATTTCGATGTATTGTCATTTCCAAAAGCTATTTGTTTTCCTGTGTATTTTGGTGTCCCATGTACCAACTTGGGCTAATTGTTTCTCATGCTTACCTCAAATCTTACACTTTCCACGGGTTTAATCTCGATTCGGTATGCTGATACCCAAAATATTATCACGTTCTTGCTCTGCCAGGTTTTGCTGAAACCCTCGATACCCAGCGATGGGCATTGACGTTGAATCAGGTTTGCTGCCATATGATAAAGATGCTGTTTCCAAATTTCACATTACTCACCCATACCGAAATAGAAACCGCAAACAGTAATCCCAAACCAACAACGTGGAAATTGTATCAATGAAAAGTTAATTTGAGATTGATTAGATCAGATATCTACTGTGTTAAACTTAGATTGAAAATTGATTGCTTTTGCAATGAAGGACAGCTTGGGAAATCATATCCTTATTCTTTCAAATCAAAAACAAGAGAGTACTTGATGTTTATCGTGGTTTTTGCCATGAAAAGTCTGATTCATGCTAGAGAATGAAAGCACCGCGGGGTAATTGTTTGTGAATATGTCAAGCTTCTTATTTCGAAGAACTTCTTGTTGAACCTTTTATAAATAGCGAACGCTTATAGTGGGAACGTCGATAAGCTGCTAGCAAAAAAATTTGAACGTGTGTGTTACGAAATGTAAGGAAGCTGTCCTAGAGTTTCACTGCAGTCATACTTGTCAATAAAAGGTTTGTGTATATGAAAATGGACTGTCCTGTATAAAGCCACAAAAAGGTTGGCTTGTCCAGTAAGGGTTGGTTTTGCCTAACCAGGGCCCTAGGGCTTCGGGTTAGTTTGTATGACAACATTCAAGGCTAGCGCAAGGAGGGGGCCCTGCCCCTTCATTCTTTGCTTTTTATGTTTCGTTTTTTACTTTACAAGACCTTAATAGGCAAGCTAGGTTTTGTGCGTTTTTTCAAAAAGGGAAAATTCCACTTCTTTTGCCTTGGAATAACAAATTAGACTTCAAAGTTTACAACAGAATAAGACTTGTTTTCCAGAGAGTGAGACCTTCACTGGCTGACAAATTATACAAACATTGTTGTGATTATGCGAAGAACGGGTAAGGATAGTCTTGCATCAAAAAAGGGGGAGGAATAAAATTTTCTTGGGCGAAAAAATCTGGGGCGAGTCTAACCGTATATAAAGTAACTATGCATACGGTTCGCAACTATGCTCTCAAGAAATATCTTATTACATTGTTTTATTGTCAGTTTCTGCGTGTTTTCTACAAATGTTCTATCACAAGACAATGCGTGGATCGGAAAATTCATAGGAAGGACGAGAAAGTTAGATTTTCCGACAAAATTCTGGTAAAAAGAAGAAGAAATTAATAAAGGTGCTGACATGCAAAAATAGGATTCAATCAAATAGGCTAAGTAAATTGAATAAAACAATTTTGTCAGAAAACAGGAGATTTTCTTATTTAAAGATTTTCAAGATAGAAGCAAGTTGTTTTAGGCATAAATTTTTTTCACAACTGGAATCACAACTCTTTCACAGTTTAAAACGACTCGGAATCGATTCCAGTGTTTTATTTTGCAAGCAACTTTTCTATACACAGATTCTCTGCATATTTTGGCAGTGATCAAAGGCCTTAAAATGAACCCTGCCACCCACCAAGAATGGTCCCGTTATTTGTATAACAGAAAATCTCTGTTTTATAACATTGTAGAAAAAAAATCAATTTAAAAAACCGTTAAGATCAGGATCAATTAGAGAAGGAAATAGATTTCATTATTCTTTTCATAGAAGACATTACAATACCAAAGTGACTTCTTATTTTCCCGTTCTTAATTAGCTTTATCTAAAATATTTTTTGTACATTGTTTTTAATAGGATGCAACTAGGTCTGGTGTTCTTCTGTAAAGGTTACACCATGAGGACTTAGTTTTGCACTTCGTTTGAGCGAGAAAAGACGCAAGTTTGTCCAAAGGGTCACGGATAATCACAGGGTGACAAAGGTACCCTCTGATGTCCATTTCTGATATTGTACTTCCCAAAAATGGCGAAATGGGAAGCGAAGTGACAAATCGAAAATAGCCTGATTCAAAAGTGTTTGAAGTTAATCGAACTGGTCTACAACTTGCAGACTGTGTGGTGATATTTTACAATTTGGCTGGTTGTTTTTTCGGTGTATTGTACCGGTTTAACATTGAACCGACATGCGAAAGACGAGGCTACTAACCTGCCAAAGGAACAGAGAAGTTAGGCCGTTTGGCTCGTCGTAGTTTTTTTTATCGACCCCGATGTAATTATCTGAATTGATATGAAAACATGTAAAGATGCGGGAGTGCTACCTCAGAGTTTTTGAAGCTACAACTATCTGTCTTGAATAAAGCAACATAGAGGGAGTGGTCTGAATTAAGGCTTAGGACATTGCGACGATGGGCCAGGGCCAAGGAAAGGCTAACAGGGACCATGGAGGTGTAAAAAGTAGTAAACTCAAAACCCTCAGACAACGAAGTGGAGGTGATATTTCACGTTCGAAAGAAAATTTAGCCGATGAACCAAAAGGTGTCCAAGGTAAACATTGTTGATACGGGAGTTGATTTCATTCTCTCATTAATAATTATTTCCGCGCGGTTCCACTTTTCGTACATTCCATATTCTCTTGCTACCGTAGGCAATTATTTGCAACAGTTGCAGCTCATATATAGTTTATGTAAAATGAAAGCTATATATTCTTACATAGGGGAGATAGATGCATGTGTTTTAATGGAAGATAATATAGGTGAATTTCATGTTTGCTGATTACTTAGGAACGATGAATACTCATCCTGTATTTGGAACGATAAATCTGTTAGTATTTTTCAATCCTTATTCCTGAATAAAATATTAAGTAAATATTGTTTGGAATATGTCATTTTTCCCACATAGACTTTCAAATATCAGTAAAATCTACCTTCAAGATTTTTGGATGAAGAAATTGAATTGAAATTAAAATGGAATGAAATATTTATTTATTAAAATATTTATTTGAATATGATCAAAATGATCACGTTTCTAAATAAATTTTGAGCCAAGGTTGTATTTTATAATCAGGTCTTTCAAGCTTTGAGCAATCATAATTTTTTTCTTGTGATTACCCTTACCAATATTAGCCTTCCTTAAAACAAAATTTTAAAATGGCTTGCAAAAGCAGAACAAAAACACATTTAATGATGTGGTATTTTATGACATGCTTGTTGGGCATTCCAATTAGTAGTTGCATTTATACTCATGTAGTGAAATAAGGCCACTAATCATTGCCAAAAATTTTATAATTATCATTTCTAGTTTACTGGTTCTTTTTTCTGTATATCTTTGTACTTAGTTTTCTCACATTGCTCTGACTAATCAGATCTCTTTAGTCTCCACATTTCTACTTGCTTTGAATGGTTTAATTGTTGAAAAATAGCTGTTGGTGGTACTTGGATAATCCAGAGAAGAACAAGAGTTTTTTCATTTAGACTACATATTATATGGACCATAGAAACAACCTCAGGTTTCTTTTTATATTGCTAAAGATATAGGACCATCAATCCATGAAATACAGATGTACAGAATGTAATCGCAAATTTTCTCCCAACTATTTGTGATGCTGCTCTCTGTATGTTCTATATATGTTCTGTATGTTCGCTGTATGATGCTGCTCATTTCATGAAACTGTGCAAAACTTGAAAGACTAAATATGGAATTTCTTCTTTGTGACTTATGAAAGTAAATATAGTTAAAGGCTGTTTAAAAAGGGTCAAGAGTAAAAAGTGTCAGTAAATCACAAACAGCCCTAGGCATTTCTATATACCTCCAAAAGCATTATTGTTTGAAAGCCAATGTTTTATAACAGTTATCTGTTAAACAGTTTTGTTTCTGTTTGCTACTACTTGAGCTTGTTTCGGTTTATTTTGAAGCAGCAATTCCGCATGATCTTCAGTTTCACTATGAAAATGGTTTTCCCACATGTTCAGTTCTTTTTTTACTATAGCTTCATGAACAGTTTGCTAACAATCCAAGAATCTCCTTTTTTTACAAAACAACCAAAGGTCCAACTTGATTGCTACTGATCAGCTTGGATGATAAAAATTTCCTAGTGCTGTAAGTCAGTTTGACCTGCTTCACTTTCTCACTGGAACCCTTCGGATCCTCACTTTATTGCAAAATGTGTTCCAGTGAGGATTGTGTTACATTAGTTATACTTTAGATAAGTTTTTTAAAGTTAGAGTACAATAATGTGCGAAGTATTGGAAAATTATTGTATTTGTTGCTACCCTTCTTTCAAAGGCAGTTCTGGGACACTGAGAATTCATGCATATATCAAGCAGTGTCTCAGTTTTTCTCACCGATGTAGCCACACCTCATGATTCCTATGCCTTGAATAAAGGAAGACTGATAAAACTTCTCACTAAAGTTAAAAGTTTAATCATGGCATGGACTTAATCACGAGCCCTTGGATCTCCAGTCATCCTTATATTCAACTTCATTCCCTATTATTGCCTAGTGTATACCTGACAATGTTATAATTTTAAGTTTTATGACTGCTAACAGAACGTTTGAATTTTCTTTTATAGATTTTATGGCCCACAGACCTCTGCCTGCAATTCCACCAAAGTTTGATGGTTCACCTAGTGACCTTTCAGTTTCACCGCCAACACCACAAACAGATGTATTTACTTTCGATGAATCTGATCCATCATGTTTCCTTGTTCAACATGATTTTGAAGCAACAGACAGTACCATGCTTAGTATAAGGAAAGGAGAATTTATAAAGATACTTGATAGAGAGACAAATGCAGGTGACTGGGCTCGTGGACAAAACAGCAATGGAGAGATAGGCTGGGTGCCATCTGCCTACCTTGTGGAGAATGAGAGCCTAAATCGTTATGACTGGTATCATGGGAAGATATCAAGAAATAGAGCAGAGTATCTACTTAGTAGTGGAATAAATGGGAGCTTTCTCATACGGGAGAGTGAAAGCAGCCCTGGTCAGTATTCTCTGTCTGTCAGGCACGAAGGAAGGGTGTATCACTACAGAGTGAACAATGATAGTGATGGAAGTATGTATGTTCAAGAAGGGATTAAGTTTAAGTCTATACCTGAGCTAGTGACATATCATACCCAAGAACCTGGTGGGCTGATTGCCTGCCTGCGATATGCAGCTCCAAAACTTGACAAGCCTACAGTTTATTCAATCTCACCTGAATGTGACCAATGGGAAGTAGCAAGGCAAGAGATTACAATAAGCCAGAAACTTGGAGGGGGGCAATATGGAGAAGTGTACAAAGCAGAATATAGAAAGTTTCATAAAACAGTAGCAGTGAAAACACTAAAGGTCAGTTGATTATGTTCAGCATCTGGTTTAATGTTTCAAGTATAAAAATGTTGGACAGGTAGGGAACTCCTCAGTCCTAATGCGAACGGTCACAAAAACTCTGTGGCTTGTAGACCAAAGAGATTATGAATATTTTCAGCAAGGATAGTAATTCTTTGCTAAGTTTTGCTCATGTGCTTATATTTTAGCAATTGTGGCACACTGGGTCTTTCTGGTTTTGTATTGAACACAATTATTTGTTACTTTCATCAAGATTCACAAAAATCTATGAGCTAGCTTTTGAGGTTGTGATAAATGCATAAATGCATTACAACCGATGATATATGAACCCCAGCATAAATGATATTGGTCTTATGACAAAATTTCTACTACCTTTGCACAAGGACACTACATTGTTAGGAAAAGTTTCATAAATTTATCTCACTAGAACACCCATATGAGTGTTTTGCTTTGGAAATTTTCTATTATGGTGTATCGAGAAATCTCTTTCTTGGTTTCCAGTGATATTTTGTGTGAAGACTCACAAAAATTTGAGATCTCTTAAAATGTTATCTTCCTTATAGAAGAATGCTAGTTTTTAAGAGTTTATTTGTTGCAGTTGAATTATCAGACACAAAGTATTAAGTTGCCAATGTAATATTAGAAGAAAGTAGATGGTTGCTAGTTTGATGATTTTGTAAGAGTGCTGGATTTGTTATGTTTTAAAATATAGAATATTTAAAAATGCTTGAAAAAGCAGAAACATGTCATACCAAAGAACTTTACAAAAAGTACTTTAATATGGGATGTTACCACCATTTTGTGCTATTTTCAAATATTATATTTTGCTAAACTTGCTTCTTGAATAAAATTAATTCTTAATCAGAAGAATTGATATTGAAGATATGGTAGGGATATGAGTTGCATGGCCAGACCATATTCATCAGATATCAATATTGTTGAATATAGCATAATTTTTTGGATAGCTGAAACACAATTTACAATAACTAGACACGCAGTCTTTCCCCCTTTTGACAATATACATATTTGATGAATATCGATATTGAAAATATGGTCATCATTTAGAATTTAAATGTTGCACAAGCAAGGGGCTGATTTTAATGTTCTGGTTTCTAGACTAAAAGTTCAAATAGGTGAATAGAGTTGAATTCATTCTAAACTCTAAAAATAATTATTTTTTGTTCAGGAGGATGCCACTGATGTTGAAGAATTCTTGAAGGAAGCTGACATGATGAAGCACATCAGACATCCAAACCTTGTGCAATTAATTGGTGTCTGCACTCAAGAAAAGCCAATTTACATTATTACTGAATACATGCCTCGGGGAAATTTGCTTGATTATCTTCGAAACCCATCAAGCAAGGACCTGCCTGCAACAACACTGCTTTATATGGCAACCCAGGTAGCAGCCGCCATGGATTATTTAGAAAAACATAGTTTTATTCATAGGTGAGTGCTTTTTGCATAGGCAGTATCTGCTTGTTTTCAAAATACACTCCCCTCCCAAAAGTATTCGAACGGAAGCCAATGTTGCGATGGTGTCAGGTTAAGTTGATGAAAACAAAAATAAAGAATGACAATACGGATCACTTAAAAATTTCAGGCAATCATGAAACAAAGTTTAAATTGCACAAATTTTTAAATTTAAGTCAATAATTCCTTTTATCAAAAGAATAACTTCAATATTTGGTGGGGATACTCACGAGACAAAAGGGCAGCACAGGGCTAGCCAGGAAATGACCTCTGCAAAATTTTAATGAAATGGAGAGGAATAATGGTGTGAATGTCAAAGGTTTTATCAAATAATTGCTGCTTGGTCTTCAGAGGATCTCTATTCGTTGAATCTTTTGTAAAAAACCAAAGAAGCCATATAATTTTCATAACTAAATCTACACTTATTCAAGAAGACATTATCGCCCCGGTCGGCAACAGTTTGTTTTTTTATAACCCTAAGTCTGTTTTGCTGGTGAGTGCAAATATTTGCTGAAAAATCAGGCTTTCTTCTTAGGGCACAATCTGTAATTCCGGATTTTGATAGAGTATGCCTAATTTAGTTTTTGAGCCAATTTTGGTCACAAAACTTCAAAGTTACTTGCTATTTTTACTCCTTTGAAATTGACAAGCAAGTTTCTTCGCAAACCCTGCTACAATTCTTTGGTTCCTATAAGAAAAATCATTTTGACCTGCCTGTTTTCAACTTTTTTTCCAGTGAACTGCTTTTTTACATAAGTTGCAAATTCTTTGTGTTGTAAACTTCGTGTAGTCCACTTGCTGTGCAATTTCATCATATGAATGACCTGCCTGGGGTAAAAACTTTATGACCATTTACTTAGCTTCATCCATATTTTGTGTTTTTACCAGTGCCCAAAGATAAACTTTTTTTGCGCTATTGCGAAAAATTTTCCCAGTAAACTTTCTCCAAACAAAATTTTTGCTTGTTTATATATTTATTTTGCTTATTTCCTGACACCATCGTTTTATTCTGCCACCAAAATTTGATCTTCCTTTTTCACTAACATGGAGTTTGTAAAAACTTGACCCAAAATTTTGCCCCACCGTTCGAATACTTTTAGGAGGGGAGTGTAAGTTATATACCATTCCCATACACAATGCTTAGTTTACCATTCATCTATTTTAGCATTGATTTCTTGCTAATACCTTCACAGTTAGTGCTTTCTCTTAGTATCTTCATTTCATTTATATAAATATTTTGAGCGGGACAGCATTTTTCAATAGAAAATGGTGTTTCTTCCTATACTTTGGACTTCCTAGCAATTGTGTTTATGTTTTTATCAATGTTTGCCATTTTGATTTATTTGCATTTTACTTGAATTCATTATTTCTGGCTTTTGCATAAGACTGAGAGTTGTGAACATATCCCCAATCACATAAGATAAGTGGTTGGGAACAGATAAGAGGCAGCCAAATCTTGTTTTCAAATTTAAACATAAGGACACTGGTAGTTATTTACTGTTGTTGTTGAAGCAGTTTCAAAAAGCCTAACTCTTCTTATATTCAAAAGAGAGTATGTTTTATATAAGCTCTCAATAGTTTTAGTCATTGGTCCAAAACAGTTCTGCTTTCAAATTGGTCCTGTACAAATATGAATAGCAGATCCAGATGGGTTTGGATCTTATGTAAACACATGATTGGTCAGTACGGGCATAGATTTGGATCCGTTTTGATCTTATCTCATGCAAATTGAGTCTTAGTCTAAGAACCTCCACATGAACACTAAAAGTGCATATTACTTATAAGTAGTTGTACAAGACCTTGCATTTGCAATCGATGTTCATTGTATTTTTCAGAGACTTAGCAGCAAGAAACTGTCTGGTTGGCGAGAACCATCTCATCAAAGTAGCAGATTTCGGACTTGCTCGAGGCTTGCAATCAAATTACTACAAAGCCCATGCTGGTGCAAAGTTTCCAATTAAATGGACGGCTCCAGAAGCACTTGCTTACAACAAATTCTCATCTAAATCAGATGTATGGGGTGGGTAAAGTCTAGATTTTGCCATTCAAAAGTAAGATCTAGATTAGATGCGTGTTTTATTACATAAAATATTTACTTATTGACTCTCATGCAATGGCCAATACAACCTTGACCAACCGACAACTTTGTAAAATTCTATCAATTTTCAATATATACCCTTGTGACAACACAGTGAATGGAACAGGTCTTTCAAACAGATGTCATGCCTTGTTCTTATCAGGTCGAATTTACCCAAAATTTGAACAACTTGTTATCAGTAACCTTTAGCTGGGCAAGGGAGGTGAAAGACCAAACGACAAAAGCAAAGCAAGGAAAATTTTTAAATCTCACTAGGGAATGGGGGGACTACCCGCGTTGTGCAAGTGTCCTTGTGGAAAAATCATCACTGGATCTTTGTAAATATACCTATTTAAGAGTAACCTGTATCTGAGAATATTTTTCATTGGTAATCGTTGCGAATACTAATAACGTTGGTTCCCTATCGTTAAGAATCCTATCACACTTTTTGCTATGTCCCATCTTGTTTTTATTTACACAACTATATATTATGCTTTTTGTTAAATCCCTAGCATTTGGAATTCTGATGTGGGAAATTGCTACATATGGAATGTCCCCTTACCCTGGCCGAGATCTGAGTCACGTGTATACATATTTGGAACAAGGCAACAGACTGGATCGACCAGAAGGCTGCCCTGAGCCCACTTATCAATTAATGCTTCGATGTGAGTACGGTGCTTTGTTATAAAATAGAGTGTTAAAACCTTGTCTTTGTTTGCTTAGATTAAGATCTTATGCGAAACTCTTTTAAAATGTTATGTTTGAAACTGTTTGTTGAAGAACAAAGCTATCAATGACCATCCAGTACCCATATTTCTATGATCAAGAGCCTGATTAGGGCAGCAAAACCTTGCCTTCCCCTTACGTTCTTCTCTTGTTTATGTAAAAATGCCTTTTTATGATCACCTATCAATTCGAGGCTCAATTTTCCTATGTTTTGTTAGTTGAATCATGATAATGCATTCCATATTATCTGGAAAGTTTCTGGGAAACAAAAACAAAATGAAACAATGACAGTGCCTTCTTAGGTACAAGAAAAACAGATAGAAGAGCATGTTTGTTTGCCTCAGTATGTTACTCGATGTTATGTTCAGGACGCCTTGGTGGTACGGTGTGTTAAGAAAATGTTGCAACACCTTGTAATTTTACACCTAGAATCTCAGTAGAGCTCACTTGCCAACTTTCCTACTATATGAGAGTTCAACCAAGGCACGGACTGGTCTGCAGGTGTATATTATAACCCACACCGTAGAGATTGACCATGTTTAAGGATTTTATAAAGCAACAATTATATTGTGTAAGCTTTTCGTTGGTTAGCCGTTACTTATTCAGAAAGCCTGCCGTCCAATAGTAGTCGAAACGACATACTGCAAGCTGCTTGAGCAACTTGAAATTGAGCAACGTGTGTTTGTGGCCTACCCAGGACCCAGTTAAAGTGCTATACTGTTCATAACGCACTCGCCTGTTTTGAAAATCGTTTCTTTATTAAAGGTTGGGCTTGGGAGCCGGCTGACAGGCCATCTTTTGAAGTTATTCACCAAGAATTAAATACGATGTTTTCTTCAACTAATGTTGAAGACGGTATGTATATTAATACTTTGTTTACGTTCTTCATCAAAATATATATATATTTTATCCATTCTGTTTTTCTGTTGAATGTAAATCAATTCCATGTGTCTTAAACATTAGAATAAAGATTAAAACTTGCTTTTTTAGCCGCTAGCGTCTTCTAGACTTGCAGCCCAACGAACGGAATTATAATTTAGATGCATTTTTAAGCAGCAATTTTGCCCAGATTGATAATATATAGTGACAGTGTTTTAGTAATTGCTCATTTTGAATGATAGGCGCATCTTTCCGCTCATATGTTGAAAATTCATCAATTTGCACAATTGACAGTAATTTACTTACTCTAAAAAAGTTGACAGTCATAAAAAAAATCTACTTACTTTCCAATTTTTAAATGCGACTGTTCGCTCTCCTTCAAACTGTCTCAGCAAATAATCGGCCAATTTCTTCGAGCTAACTGCGTCGCGTGTAAAGATGTCCATATGGTGCATTGTGTATCATCTAGAGAAGGATGGTTCAGAAGATCATTTTGCGATGCATGTTGGTTTGGTCCTTTATAAGACCGGGTCAACCGGGTCTCTAAGTAGGTTGGGTAATTCGGCCTTTTAATAGATTGGGTAGTTTGGGTCCTAGGTAGTTTGAGTTTTTCAGTCCCCTATTTTTCTTTACGGTTTCTGAAACTATAGCAAATTCAAACGAAAAATTATGTTGCTGAGAAAACCCTCTCCTACCAACCTCTCGGTGCCATTGACTAAGGTTGCTTGTGAAAGGGGTGAGCTTTCTTCGGTATCGAGTACTGTGTTTGTATTCTGGCAAATGAATAAAATCATATTACATTTCCTCAACATATTTCATTTTGCTTTGTAGAAGTAGCCGACACACTTCGTCGTGAGCATTCCACAGCCCAAGTTCCTATCGTAAAGGGTTATACTCAAACTTTGATAAAATCTAGGAATGAAAGGTTACCGGACTTAGCCCCTCCCCTTAAAATGCCGGATCAAGATGGGAAGGATGACGTTATTTCTCGTAAAGAGCGGCCAATTTTACCGAAAGATCGCCCCCCGGCACCCCCTCCTGAACTCTCAAGAGTGGATGCTAATATAGAAGGAAGACCGCCAATGCCCTTGCCAAGTAAAGGGGGTGACATACCGTTAGCGTCCAGCCCACCTGAGACGCCCAGCCGACATCAGAACAGCCCAAAAATTGCTGCCACGTTGAAAGATCGTCCACAGTTACCTATACCAATGGTCAAAAGGCCACCGAAACCAAGCGAGAATAAAGAATCAAAGAGAAACGAGAACCACCTGATTACGACACGGTCTGATTCTTTAAGCAATATTTCGTTGAATGAACTTTCAAGAGGCTTAGGTGCTTTAAAATCAGTGAAACATCCTGCTGGCAAGTCAAAAAAGCCGGTTGTGGATAGCATTGACGGTCCGGACACTAAATCAAGCCACCTTGAAAGTGTGTCAGAATTGCAGAAGAGGCCACTACCAAAACGACCAAACGGAGACCAACCTGCCCGACCTGCCAGACCTCTCGGTATAATAGAAGACCATGTACCGGCTATAGGTAGCCAGGAACCGGAAATTAAGCCAGTACCTGCACCGAGGAGAACAGTCAAAGTCCCGGAGCGGAAAGCCAACGGATCGGTTTCTATTCAGTCAGATATTCCAAAGAGACCTTTGTTACCGCCTAAGCCATCGAATGTTGGTCAAGGGGGACCTAAGCCAGAAATCGTGGGAAGGAAGCCACAAATGTCGAAAGTTGTCAAAGGGCCTAAGATAAAACACGTGAATGTAAACACAAGTTCATTGAAGGAAGATTTAATACCAGTAGCAGAAGAAACCCAAAATCTTTACCGATGTGCTTGTGATATTATTACTTTAGCTGAGGCGCGTGTTTCTGAGAACATTAGAGATAAATCCGAAGGTTGCGTCGCCACGGCCGATAGCCTGCTGGAACGGCTGTCGACATATCGCGACTCATTGGGGCCTGTGACGAGAATGAAAGTCAATAAGCATATAACGAGTCTGGAAGAAGGCAACAGTGAACTGAAGTCCCTCCTTAATCAAATCTCAGATACTCCGAATACAGTCGAATTATCAAGGATCTGCAAGATGCTGACTTCCCTTGTCGATGTAATTGAGACTCTTTCGAAATCGTTGCCTGAACTGTAAGCGTTCCCTTTGTTTTAAGGATCATATTTGCGCATAACACATCTCCATATCGCTGATTTCGTCTATAATCAAGATGGTCCATTTCCTTCCTTGTATTTGAAGCCATTGCCAAAGAAATGTTTCTGTTAACACATGAAAACATTTAACGCCTTGAAATCAGTATCACCTGGCTACTTAAACAAGGGAACGCGCAATTGGCTTCTTCGCAGTTACCCATATCGATAGGTTTAAATTATGGAGAATTTTCAGTAATTCTGTCCTCACTTTAATGCTCTAAAAGACATGTATATTATCAATTATGCTAAATTGCTTGGCACAGCGATGTGCAAGTTGATTTTTTTTACTGATTTGAAATTCCATATCATTCTTCAACCAACTGTATTTTTTATACCTTATTTTGTAATCATATTAGGCCAACTGGTTGTATAAGAATTTTGTTGTTTTTTGTGTCGTCATAAATAGCTACTTTTGGCATTGAAATCCATGTAACATACTCATTTCAAAATCTTCGTTTTATATAATAGATTTATCCAAAACTGCTTTGAAAAGATTGAAATTTGTCAGATACACTTCAGTATAAAAATTTCATAATTAAGGGTTTGTGTGTCAAAGTCCAAGATACAGGCCTAGAAGGGATTAACAGATTCGTTACGCTAACAGAAAATGAAGGCATCTATATCTTTCAGTTAGTTTAGGTATAGGTATGGTTACTAAAGTGACAATTTAATTTATATATCAGCATTTATGATCGTATTATGGTTAGTTTATCAATTATTTTTGCTGTTAAATGTTCCATATGTCTATTTACAAATAAGCGCATCGTCAGGCTATTTATGGAACCCCCATTACCAGCGTGATTTTGTATAACAGTCAAAATTCATCCTTTGCGATTAATGTTAAGTCATATATATGCTTGTGCATAGAGGATACCATGTTGGTGTATGATGCACGTTTTACACATTTTTTTTCTATCAAAATATTTTCTATGACTTTGATTGAAGAGGGCTGTCATCAAAAACGGAAATTGTTCTAAACGATAATGCGATGATGGGTTTTTATAAGAATATTTGCTAAAAACCTCTAATAGCATTTCTTAAGTTTTGGCAGAATTAGTCTAGTAAAATGCAAAGACAAGAGTTTTAAAGATTTAATTTCCTTTATATACCGGAATAATCTGAAAATTGATAGCTTTATTCTTTAAGCATCATGAGATTTTTAGGATCGCAATTTGTCCACATCGGGTAAAAAAGTTTGGCTTTGTTTTCCTAAGATATTCTTAAAATGCAAAGCTAGACGTCTTCAATTGAATTTATGTTTCAAACTGTCAATCTCCATGCAATAAAAGTTTTTACTGTTTGTTTGAGTTTAGCTTTATTTGATACTTCATATCGCACTTTTTTAACTAGTTTCCAAAATAATTTCACAGCGTATTACTATTGAATCTAGACAAAAATAATGTCAGATAATTTTTTGCTACCATGAATATACTTTCGTTTTTGAGAAAATAACTCATGAACGACCAAAGCCCACACTGTTTATAAGATACCCGTCTTTATATTTTAAAGGGTAGTGAGAACTTTTGTTGGCCATCAAAGGGGAAATTTTGAACTATATTGCCTATGAAAGCTGAGTAATCTCCTGTGTTTTTTTGCATGACTGACTTATATAGATTGCGCAGTCATAATATCTGAAACTCCACAACCTAAAGCCCCCCCCCCCTTTCCCTCTCCTCCCTCTCTTCCCCTCTACCGGAATCTAAAAACGCAGGCTCTTTATTTTGAAGGAATTTATGATTTAACGATTTCTCATTGGTTAATTTTTCTATTCTAGTTAGTCACTGTAGGTCCCTAATGTTCATAATTTTCCTAACAATGTTGTTTATAACAACCCCTGGTTCTTACCTGAAAGCCAAGAGTACTTACCAGAAAAAACGCCTTGTATATTAATGTTTGCTGTATAAATATGTATTCTCTATCATCCCGTGGTTTGGACATACGTAGACTCTTATTTTAAAGCTCTTTCGACCAGAAATCGGATTATGCCTAAGAATGGCCTCTGTTTCCCTTACAACGAAGCTGGTAGCTGTTGGGTTCCAAATTTATGTGCGTCCTTATAATATTGCCTGTTAAACCTTTTATGGGTACATTTATGTTCTTGCAGAAGTGGCTGTTAAATTATTGCTAATACTGACAAATTTCGGCATTAACGCTCTGGCATCACGCCTCGAGATTTTCGAGTAAGATCAAACTTAGGGTGAGAGCCTTGTTTCGCTTCTTTCCGAATAATTCAAGTTGGTTCATTATACTAGTGCCTATGCTAGTCTACATGGCGAAGTTTTTAATTCATCTCGCTGTACGTGTTCATGTTACTTTGCTGGTTAATTGCGTATATTGTTTATATCACATGAAATGAATTAATGTTGTTTAATGTAATAAAAGGATAGTTACCTTCGTGAAGTAATCAAATTTCTTATTTTGTAAAATAGGCGGCAAATCGATGCGAATTTTGGAAAATTTGTACTTTATTTCTCTGCATCTTCAATGCCTGGCTTGCATTTCGACTGACCACGTTTTGCTTTAAAATCTGAAGAGTGACTAACTTGCTTTCTTCATCACGTGTATCAACCAAGGGGGGCCTTGATTGTCCACCCCTATTGAACAGTTATTTGTAATAGGACGACTTCGATTTAGGGATTTTCGCATCCCATAAGCGCTGTCTACCCCCGGTTAACTTTGATTTTAAGAAACCTGAATCCAGTACGAGTTGCTTTTCCCTGGAGAAAAATGTCAAGGTGAAACTGCAATTTTAGAGCAAAGGGACAACTTGCACAACGAAACAATAGGAACAGATACCAAGTGACTTTGTATTGTGATTTGACTGTTGTTATGTATTATGTTAAGAAAGTGCCCAGGGTGCATTGCTAGAAAACGTAAGGCTACGCCGATTCGCTAATTCGTCTCCGCCAGGATAATTTATCTCTGCCTTATACCGTTACAAAGAATATTTATAGGTTGATTTTTAATTTACGAATTGCAAGGTTGCCCTGGAAAGTCAATCACCCATCAGAGTAAGGTACCTACCTGGAGACAATCTACCTAAAATTGCTTCAGCTCTGTGCATATTTTCAGGCTTGAGTTGTATCTATTTTCCGAAACAATGCTTAGACATGACATGACATGACAGTTTGAAAAATTTATTTACCCTATTAATCAAGAAATGTTCTGCTTTTTTTTCAAAATTTGATCATTTCTTATTTTTTTTTCCTTTCAGTACTTAAGTTTGTACTTATCTATTCCTCACGAGTTTCCAGTACTCTCGTTTCTTATAAGGCTGAATATTTGACAAGAACTTTCCACCCTCCTTTATGGCAAGGGGTAGAATTTCGACTTATGCGATTAATTTTTGATTATAATTAACCCGGAACTGATTATTAAACTTAAAACAACGTATAATTATCTTAAGATTTAAAACACAGAATAAATTGAAGACTAAAATTAACTCGACAATGGTAAATTTTAAAAAAGAAAACTGCAACTTTGGTCATGATTACCAGTAGTAAAAATTTGAACCTAACAAAGGAATGATCATTTAAGGCTCTCGCGCAACCAGCATGCTTTGCGACTGTATTTTCAAAACCGGCCTAACACCATACTGCATGAAATACACTCTTTTTTTATAAGAACCAGTAAATTTAATTTCAGGCTGACTGTTCTTAATATTTTCGAAAATCTGAGGCTGGATTGTTCTTAATTTGTTCTTAAATTAAGAGGGTGTAAGCAGTGCTATTGCTAGCTTTTTCGCTCTAAGGAGGTCTTCAGGCCTCATTTGCCAACAAAGTGAGTGAGACAGCCTTAATTTGCTGACAAATTTGAATATTCACCGAAAAATCACCCACACATCGCTAAAAATAATCGATTTTGAGAAAAACGTTGTTCAAAATTGCATTTTGCAGAAGCTCAGCCTCAGCTTGTTCTTAATTTGTTCTTAACTTTTGACCAGTTTTGAGGCTCGTGTTCTTTTAAAATTGTTCTTATAAAAAAAAGAGTGTTCAAAACACCCGTTTCTTTCCATTTTAGAAAATATTTACCACAAGAGACCTCAGCATCGAAATCTTGTGTGTCGGAAACCTTATCATACTTATCATCCTATCTACACGATTTAGATTCATAGTGCACTAATTTTGTATTTAGTCACGTATGTCTAATAACATATTAACGTCATAACTTCTCTCTGTGAGCTCAAACGGTCGAATCTTGGTGTCACTTTCCATTTCCTCAAGATGGTACAAGCGGTTTCCAATAAGCAAACCATTCTTAATCAACTCATTCTTTATATGTTCCCCTTGCAACCAAATCTTCCACATGCCTTGGCGACGCTCAATATCCAAAACATTTTTTATTGTTCCAAATTGATCTTCTATTGCACTGCCTATATCAACAATATCTACATTGTCTGCTGTAAAATTTCTACGAAACTTTAAACAATATCGCTTCAAACAAGTTGGTGACTGCAACTGTTTAACTCTTAATCCAATATCCCTGGGTTCTTGGTTATCAATCCATTTCCATTTTTGGTCCACTCCTTCCACAAACTCTTCATACATTTCACTTTCCAACATTTGAACTGACCTGGTGCTTATTCTTCCAGCAATTTCTGCTTCATTATAACAGTCCCCCAATCGAAGGATTCCAATTGAAGTATTCCTGAGCCAGGTTTTAGATGGATCTAATTCTAGCTGTTCGTGGAAACTCTTCTCCATGTTTATCTCATCAATCTTTAACACCTCCAAATCTTCATTGTCAACATTCAACATTTTATTACACCCAAGACAGTTTCTGCCCGTGCATAATATAACACCTACTGAAGTCTGGTGACTCTCAACTGTTCTAGGACGAAAAGGCAAAGTGTCAATGTTTTTAGACATCTGGGCATTCATTTTAAAGCGCCACTTTGTCAGCCATTTACCGAACTCACTAGAGCAATTTTGAAACGATAGCCTTTCAATTAACAACTCCCGCGATGATAAAAGCCACTGATCAGTGATAAAAACTGATTGCGTAGGATCTGACAAAAACTTGAGCCTTTGCGAAGTTTGGATAAAATTTGACTTGTTTTGCTGTTGTTCCTTCGCAACAAGACAAAAATATTGTGAAATGTATTTCATTATTGCCGACCAGGATCATTATAAATTAATGCTTCTTCTCAATCCGTCAGTGGTATGGTTAGTTTAAAATGTGGCTTTCCGACTGTGACACGAAGTCAATAATTGATGAGCAACACTAAAGAATTAATATTTTTGAATAAATAGTTTCATCTTCTCGTCACCTTTCCTCCAGAGATCCAAAAAATATTCATTGGTCCATTGAAACGAGTTGATGATACTAAAAGTGCCGAGAATAAAATGGTTTCTGTTAATATTGATCCGTACGAATATTTTTCGATTGCAACTTTGAATTACGCATAGTTATCTCGTTTTTTGTGAACATTCAAGGTGAGAATCTTTTAACTTTAAAGAGATTTCTAAAGCTAAGGTTTCTTTTAAAAGCCACGACTTTACGTAAGGAGGGAAGTTTGAGGACAGTAGAAGCATTTTTGAAACAATTGAAGCATCATGCGGCCATAAAATTGAAACAATTTTAAACTACAAAGAATGGCAAGTGAAGATTATGAGGACCTAGAATGAAAAATTCTGTGGCAGAGTAGAATGAAGGTACTTGGACAAAAAAAACTCTTAAAAAACATCTGAATTGCACGCCATATATTCTGGAATAGAGTTCTCAAGTGTGACGTTACAAAAAACTATTTTTAGAATTTTCGAATTTTGACCACATAACATGAAAGAACATCATAAAATACCCGTTTATATGCAAAATCAGTTAAATTTGTCAAAAATTGGGTGATCTATGACCAATAGAAGACTTGAAGTTTGCTGACGGATTACTGTTATTTTGGCTCAGTTCACAAAGTTATGAACTGAGACCAAATTACAGAGGTTTGATGAGGCAAGATCTTGTGCTCATCTGGTCATATCTCAGCTAGTTCATGATACTTTTTTCTGATTTTGCAGATATAGAGAAACCTGTTTCTGTATTTCATGATGCACTTTCAGGATGTGAGAAAAAATTTCAAAAATTCTAAAAAAAGATTTTTGTGACGTCATCACTTGACAACCCCATATTTGCCTGGTATAACACACTCGTAAAAAAATAATAAAGAGAAATGCTTATGGGAACATAAGTCGACCTTCAGTACTCACGTTTTTTATTGCTAGTGCCATTTTTAGCACATATTGTCATAAACATAAACTGACAGATATTTTTGGGAAGGTGACGAGGTGCGAGATTTCCAAACGACAACAATCCAATTGCAGTTTTGTACTAAGCCTTTTCTTGACGAACCTTCACATTTTACTTTTCTGTCATTTCCTTTCTGAACCAAAGTAATTCTCGCCATTAGTGTTAAGCAATATTTTTCTATGACGTATATAAGTATTGGAATCGGACTTTTCGACTACCCTTAAATTTTCACCCTAATTGAAAGGGTTTTAAAGACTAGGGATGTGAAATCCCAATAAATATCAGCATTTAAATGCCTGCTGATTTCATCCTACGGTTCTTGATTTCATGTCACAAAATTTCGTATTTGGGGTCCCCTTTCTGTAATTTTTGATGCTAGTTTAACTAATTTCGTATTATGGTATTTTTAAATATAATGGAAAGTGGTTTCAACGAAGCTGGCTGTAACAAAATTGTAGAACATTCGAATTATATTTGCCATTCAGATCTCAGATCTAAAGTTTTATGCCAATTTTCAGCTTTTTTAAAATCCATTGATTCTTAATTGTTTTGTTTTGAGTAAAAACATTTTGTAGATTTTTTTGGGATCCCCAGCACTCGTTATTTAAAGTAAGATTGCCAAAAAAGGGAATAATGGTAATTAACAAGAAATAATTTGTTTACAACTGTCAAGGAGAACAAGCTATATATTGGGCTAATGGGAGCCAAACTTTTACGATATAAATAATATGTTATTAATATAAAAAGCCTAAATATACAGTAATTGCTCTAGATAGTGTACAACACTACAACACTAGAGTTGTCCTGTTCTACACACAAAGGCAGTTATCATGTTATATGTTAAGTACAGTTGCAACTTTGAACCGTTCTGTTCTTTTCTACCATTCTGTCCTGTTCTACACACCAAGGCAGTTATCATGTTATATGTTAAGTACAGTTGCAACTTTGAACCGTCCTTTTCTACACACAAAGGCAGTTATCATGTTGTATATTAAGTACTATTGCAACTTTTAACCGTCCTGTTCTACACACCAAGGCAGTTGTCATGTTTTGTGTTAAGTACAGCTACAACTTTGAGCCGTCCCTTTCTACACTTCAACGCGTAAATGCTACATACTACTTGTTCCTTGTTTATTCTATATTTTTACTTTGTGGCAGTTAGTACTGAATTCTGATTCTGAAACCAACTTGAAATCAAATTTAAGATGAAAGTGTGCTTTCTGTGACTGATTCAGCCTGGTCCAAGCCAATGTAGAAGTTTAGAGCCTGCCTTGCATCGTCCTGGTCTTGTCTCTTCCCTGTTCACCTTAGGGAGTTTTGAGGATGCATTCTGGCGATGCTCTTATGAAATGCACATAATATATGCCGTCACTTATCATCAAACCTTTTCGATGCTGTGTTCGCTGTTTGTTGGAGAAATAACTTGAGTTTGGTGTTAAAGATTGCAATAGCATCTACAAGTGGGTGCCTTCGGATGCAATTTTGATAAGAATTACAATTGGTCAGGATATAGCATTAACCAGGATCTGGTTTCTGCTTAAATGTCAAAGTGGTTCCTGTGAGATTGACAAAAGAGCAATGTGCATTGAATTGACAAAGGTTATTTTGCGCAATGTGATAACGGCTAAAAGGGAGGTAGAAAGCTAGCCACATTTTCACAGTTCATCTCTTAACTGGTTCCCAGTAGCTCTTCACGCGGGCTAGTTCCCAGCTCTTTGAATCGGTAGCCTGTTTAACAATACAGAATTTGCAATCAGCCACGTGATGTTCTGCAGTCCTGGTACCAGGTGATGTTTATTTCTTAAGCGATCAAAGAGATCAATGATCTTATGGCTGAATTTTGAATCAACATGGCGCTTTGATTATATAATAAATATAACATCGTATAGATGTTTGATAAAATGGAAGATAATGTCTGTCATCGTTGCGGCAATATCGTAAACTCGATAATGAGTTCTCGCTTGACTGGAATGATGCTGATGGCATTCGCAGGACTGTTTTTAACATTCAGCAACCTTTTCGTGCAGCTTGCTATTGAAACAAACAAAATACGGATTCCGGCATTGGAACTTACTTTTGCTCGCAGTTTCGTGCAGCTGTTGTTAATACTGCCTTTAATGGTTGCATTTAAAGTGAAGCTCGTCATAGACAAAGAGAATATAGGCCAAGTAATCATCATGGGGACCAGTGGATATCTCAGTGTAGCATTCATATACTTAGGAATCGATAAAATTCCCCTCGGTGATGCTACTGTTATTACTTTTACGAGCCCAATATTTACGACCCTTTTCGCCTTCGCGCTGTTATCGGAATCTTGCTCGTGTATCGACAGCATTTGCGGATTCATTAGTTTTGCTGGAGTCGTCATCGCAGCTCGACCGAATTTCATTTTCGGGGAACGTCGTAAAGCTGTAGATATAATGGTTGAAGACACGATAATGTCAGATGAGCGCAAAGAAGCAATTTACATGATAGGAATTGGATATGTACTTCTTGGAGCAGTTTTTCTGTCGCTGTATTATGTTCTTACGAGAAAAATTTCCCGCCGACAACATGTTCTCGTTAACATATTTTATCCTAGTTTATTTGGCTGTATTTTCGTCCCTCTGATGATGATACCAAATGATACATTCTTGTTCCCGTCATGCGGGAAATCCATTGTTTACATCATTTTCGTTGGAGTGACTGCATTTGTAGGGCTGATACTGTTAGCGTTATCTCTAAGACTTGAAAATGCAGGGCCCCTTGTCCTTATAAGGAACCTTGACATAATCTATGCATTCTCACTGCAGTATCTCTTCATGCATATTGTTCCATCGTTATGGAGTATCGGAGGGGGTGCGATCATAATTGTGTCTACAAGCGTTCTTGCAGGACGGAGGTGGTGGGCCTCAAAAAGTGAGCAAACAAAATTTACAGACGAATTTGAGGAAGAATTCGGAGAAGAGACAGAATTGCTTGTCCAAGATGATAGGCCAAATCCAGGATAATACTCAACATTACATTTTTTAGCTGTTTTTACTTTTACAATGCATATTATTGGGTATTTAGGTTAGAAACAAGTGTGGAAGTTTTAGATTTACAGTGGTGCAAAAGCTTATTGCAGAATTCCATAGATTTCGTTTTCGTAGAATTGAGAAAAGTCAGATGAACGAATATTTACGTTTGATCATTGACTATGGTTTGACTGGTTCAAGAATGGAGAACCTCTCTTTCAACTCCTTTCACTGCACAATTTTTGTCTTTGGCCTCAAAAGGTCAAACATTAAATGACTAAAATCTTTCGATTTTGACCCCGCACACTACAGATTTTTTGTCCTAAAGACAAAAATTCTCGTCTTTTGCCACAAAAATCTGCTGTGTGAGCTAGGCTTTGAATAAAAGGTTGTAGATCCCTTGTTTGAATATGTTGGTAAAGCATTGCATAACACAACGTGTAAATTTCTGCTTTCTCTTTGAGTTCTTTCTTCTTCTATTTCCGTCATGCACACGGGCGTTGACGATGATGCACTTCTCTATCTTTATTCTAGACACATTTGAAACAGTTTATTTCTATTCGCCGTCTTAGTCCACTCTTCGATGATGCTCAAATACGTCTTCTCTTTCTTTCTCTTGCTCTTTTAAAGGCATTGAGTCATGGTAAATAGGCCTTGTCCATCGGGGTCGTTTAGTTTCAGCGTGATCGTTGCTGTTTCATGTGATACTGGCATTCGTTGTTGACAACTTGCTATTGATGGAAACTGTTTTATTAATCAGTACGAGGTGAGTTCATGTGACCAGTTTGAGGTCAACCAATAGCATTGCAGTCATGAAAATCGTGACTCAGCGGATTTTAGCACTTTGGGTATACCCAATCCATTTCATCATGACTCAATGCCTTTAACTTCTACTTACCCAGTTAGCGATAGATCTGCATAACGTATCCTAAAAATAACATTCTCCTGTTTTTGATTTTCAGTAACAGTTTGCGTTTTATGCTAGCAGTTTTTAGAATCCTTTTATCCGATTCTTTATCCGTCAATGAAATATTCAGCATCCTTCAAACTACACATTTTCGTTGCCTCTAAACGTTTTTGCATAACAGAAAAGACACTCACATCCAGTGCAACTAAAA